ATAAAGAATCTGCTGGGCAAAGTGACTTGAAACATATTTTTCGATACATGACATCTGGCCATACAGGGAAGCTTGAGATGAGTTCACTAGATCTTTCAAGGGCCATGCATGATCAGCTTGGGCACTCCCCCGCCTTGAATGAATATTAAAACTTAATACAAGTACAACTTAAGCAATACCCCGAAAATAGACAACATTAAGGAATTGTAATTGTTCCAATGCATTTTTCATTAGTTGTAAGGCACAAGACCAGGAAATATTAATCAAACAAGGTATAATTTCCAAGAGAGGTAACTGAAAAAAATAAATGGAGGGAGGATATTTTGTAATATATTTGATTTCCCAGCTCAAAATTGGACTTGAAAATCTACTCATTTTGTTTTCTTCACTAGGTAAATGAATTTTTGCTTGGACTTGGTTTCATTGCTTAATTAGTTAAATTCATTGGAAGTCCTAATCCCATTGGTACATTACCTTGTCCAAGAAAAGGCTTCCATCTTTTAAGATCCATCCTGGGAGCTTGGATAGCCTTGGACTGTAGGAAAGTAAAGAAATTGTTTTAATGCATTTTATGATGAAATCAGCACCCATTTTCCAAGATCTGCATATAAAACATCAATACTTCAAAATAATGACATTAAGTAAGCATTTAAGAAAAATTTGCTGTAACAGCAGCTTGACTAATAGCTAAAGATTTACTTCAAAGTTTTTCAAACTTGGCAACTTTAAGATGTGTGGACTTCAACTCCCAGAATTCTGTTTTAAGAGGACAAACATTCAGAAGAAAGTAAGGTCACAAGACAACTTAGAACTCTAGATTATGGTAATGAAATGTTCCAAGCTTATTAACAATAGTCTCCCAGGTTTGATACAAGCGATAAATAAATTATTCCAAACTATCCTGGCATCTCACTGCGTAAAATAGGGGGGGGAAAGTGACAGGAGAAACACTGAGTTCATGACAATGGTGATTATCGCTTTATTTATTACTAAACAACCTGTGATTCATTGGTCATCCTTACCTAAAGAAACAGAATGACCATGGGTGGATTGCTATTGTTTTGGTTTTAAAATTAAAGAAGAAAACACCATTTTATTAAAGAAGAAAGATGCACAGCAAAGCAAACAGATGCTTTTTGTTTAACAAAGGATGCTTTTGATGGCATTTGTGGTTGATCAGCCATTTTTAAAAAATATTCTAAAGTTTTTACTTATTTTTCCTTGGCTTCAAGTGACATACAGCTGACCATACTGGAATACCGGTTTCTCCAGATAAATCAACATATTCTCCATGGTTTCTCCTTGCTCTGTATATTTAGTCAGAGCAAAGCATGACTGTATTGGCAAGTATGTCTGCTGAAGACAGACAACTTCACCTTCTGATAAATTGAGCATAATTTTTGGAATCATGACAATGTCATTTTTGAAAGCACCAATGTTTATCTTTGCTACAATGAAATTTTTTGGAGTTCTTCCACCATCATCCTCATTCCATTGCAAAGCCTTGGAAGATCTAAGTTCCTCTTTAAAATGATAAGAGTTCCTATTTTGAGTTCTAATTTATGTGGTGGCAATCTCAGGAGTTTCATTGAATCAAGGAATTCCATTGGAAAATGAGTTGCATTAGCTCCTTCACTGACAACATTGAAGAAACAATATTCTTTCATCGTTTCAGAGAAGAACATAATGCATATGGAATTGATTTTTCTCATCATTTCACTGAAGGGAACTTAATAGAGTTCTTTGGGAACAGTTCTGCAGAATTGTCAAATGTTTGGTAGATGAAATCTATACATTCTTCCATAGTTCTTGCTGGCAAAACCATATGTTCAGGTAATACTATTTTATCATTTTGATTTTTTCTGAATTTTATTTACTCAACATTTAATAAGAATTCAGACTATCTTCCTTCTCCCTCAATCAATTGCATGTTTTTCTTCTGCTAAAACGTCTCAATAAATTTAATTTGTTGATGCATACCTTAGCCACATCAGAATCATTTCCTCTTTTTACAATTGGTAAATGCTGATGGATATCTGCCACAGCAAATGGTTAAAATCCCTCTCCCCATGGCTTCAAAACTCTCCCTCCTAATCATGGGGGTTCTCATCCCAGACAATAAGCCTCACTTGTCAAAGCAAATGTGCAGCATTGGAGACTTTCAATGTTATAAAGAGCATTTTCATTCGCTTTGATGAATGCATCTTGAATGTACTGTCCTACCAGGCATCAGTGTTGCTGCAATATTGATGATACTATAGCAATAGCACCATCTCCATCTCTCCTAAATTTAGTGAGGATCAAATTAGTAACAAATGTCTTTCCTGTTCCTCCTGGTGCATCAATGAAAATTATTGAAGAAAGATTGTTTTGCAAGCACTTGCACATTGTCATATACTGCTCTTTGCTCATTATTCAGTAGAGGCTTGCTGTGTAGTATAAATTCCTGCTGTTTCTCTATTGTATTGCATTTCATGCAATAATTGCCTGATAGCCACCATTTTGATTTTGTCAGTTTTGGCAAATTACATTCTTTAAGTGTTCTTCCCAATTTCATAATTTTTTCTTGGAAATAGAGAAGAACTTGTTCATAATGTATCTTATTGATCATATTAGGATCATTAATAGTTCTCTCAATTTGGAGGAAATCTTCAGTCACTGCACTCTTGAACTGATTCCACATTGTTGTGAATTGTTGATTTTACTATTCGATAACAAGATGACAAACAAATCTCTCATAGCTCTGGGGATTCTTGTTCTTTCAACATCTTGCATAGTTTGTTGCCAATGATCATCAGCTTGCAACAATCCTCTCTCTCTGCAGACATTTTTGAATAACAGAAGCATATGTCCATTATGTGTCTTCAATGATTTGAGAAATACTAGCCCCTTTACGTGATGAAGAAGCAATCTCAAGCAGTGGTCACCACTTTGTGGAGAAACAGTATACACTTGATCAAGAACATTGATTACAAAAATTGCAGAGAACTCTTCCAGTGCTTTCCCCATCTTCCTTCTTTCCCATTCTTATTAGTCCATCTTGGAATATCTTGGAATATCCATTGTGTTCAGCAGTTTTGAAAATGGATCATGTTTGCAAAGATCCATGAATTCTGTTAATGTGGTTCTTGCCATATTACTATTCAGTACACAGTGGTATTATCTCGAAAGAATATTCAATGTTTTTTGTGGAAGGTGTACTTGAAGGCAAACAATAATCAGTTCCTGTTCATGAATCTGGAATCCAGGTATTGATGCAACAGCTTCAGAGGACCTAATGTATCTGCCTGTCAAGTGCTGTGTGATTTTTGTCTTGTCTATTCGATGCAAAAACTGTCTAATTACTTCCCTTCCTGGTATACTTGATGTTGGATTTGATGGATTTGACAGATGACAATATGAGCATACCGTTGAGATGTCAGTTGAACACCCTCAATAGTGTATTATAGGGTACCACCCATTAAGAAGTTTTAGTTCAACTCTGTCGTCCTGCTTGATGTACTTCAAATCCTCCTATAGATAGGATATGAATCATCACTATACCTTGTATGCTGATTGAATGGCTTTTGGTACTGCTTACTGAATGTATCATTTTTCTAACATCCTGAGTAACTGCTACAAAGTGGACTATGAATCATGTGCTTTAATAGCAATTTATGCAGCTCTGGATGTTCATTTGGGTCTGGTAATTTGGCTTGCACAAAAATATCATAGCTGTCTTGGCTTGGATGCTTCATTAACTACAGCAAAGAGTGCAAATGAGAGAGATACTGCTTTTGATATCCATACTTAGCACATAATCTACCTACTAACGAGACCATGTGTTG